ACCTGCAATGTTTCAGTGTCAGTCAGTCTTGATGTCACACAAGATGAGTCAGCTGATTTTATGTAACAACCTCCAATTTAGACCTTCAAAAACTACATTAGCCCTTTGCCTAATGTCAGGAAGCCTTGTTCACTGTGGGAGACACCTTTTACAGAGCTGTAGTTTTCCAGAACAGAGTCTTTCCTCCTCTTTTTTTTTTTTTTTTCCATGACCTACATAAATTGTTCTCAGACATATAACTTTGAAGTCAACATGTTTGAAACAATTTTCAACCTGCACTGTTCCATATTAATGCTTCTGTTATTACTGACATCTGAAAACACTAATAATATTACCTAATGATGCCAAAAGTTATTTTTGTATTTTTTTTTCACATCCTTAAGGAAAAAACTGTCTGTTAGAAAAATCTAATACTGCTTTCCTGAAAAAAAAACATAAAGAGTATCTCCATTATGATTCCCTTGTGCCTACATTTAACATTTAGCAGTTCCTAACCACTTACTGACATCATCCAAGAATACTTTTTTCGGATGCTATTAAAAGAAATGCTATAAAAAGCCTATTGTAGACACAAATTTCAGCCATATCCATGGCTCCATCAGTACCTCCAAGGAATCCATAAAAAAACAAATAGGAGCAAAGTCTGTTGTCTGTTTACCTCCATCAATAACAAAAGCAAGCTTGCCATGCTCTCTCTAATAAGAGTACATTGACATATCTTTAGCTCTATTACTGTGCTTTAGGTTTTTCCAGTAAAATTCTCTATCAGTTTTTCTACTGTTTTGCCCATATTTGCCATTAGACATGTTTGCAATTATCTATTTCTATTATTCTCAATTATTCTCTTGAACAACAATGTATTTGGCACAGTTCTGTTATTTTTCTGCTTTTGTTAGGACAAGCAAGAGATTTTTTTTCAGGCAGCTTTAGATACCTGTTCCAAAAAAGCGATGAAATTGAATATTACTGTCCCTACCCAATACTGTTTTAATACCCTGCCTCTTTCAATTACTTTTAGAAAAGTATTCATGAACATATATCAGCTTCCTTTTTAAAACAGACTTGAGCATCTCCTTTATGTTATTGAAGTATCTTGTTAAAATTAAATGGAAGTTAGGCACCCAGACAGAAACTCATTAAGGACTTATTTCACCTAATTTTATATGTTTGTACTTAGTAATTTTTTTCAACTCCTTTTACAGACAGTAGAATGAAATACTTCCCAAAAATGATTCATCTAGAAAGAGAAGATAAATAGTGTCCTGGATGCATAACTATACTATAATCTGAGCTTGGGAGAAGAAGGGGGAGAAGGAAGCAACAGAACCGACATTCAGCACAGGAAGAGATCACAGTATCACAGTATGCTGGAGATTGGAAGGGACCTCAAAAGATCATCTAGTCCAATCCCCCTGCCAGAGCAGGAACACCTAGATAACGTTACACAGGAATGTGTCCAGGCGGGCTTTGAATGTCTCCAGGGAAGGAGACTCCACAACCTCCCTGGGCAGCCTGTTCCAGTGTTCCATCACCAAATGTTGATAAACAAATACCATAGCGCAGATAATTAAAAACAGTGCTAAAAGCTTGTATAAATTCTAATCTAAATTTTACAGGCTTTGTTTTCCTGAAAAGCTTGTCACCTCACACTTCTGTCTCAAGGCCACTGAACTGATGAAAATAGTAATATTAATGCATTACGTGGAATAAAGTATATCAGTTATTCCAAGTTGATAACATTAATTCAAGTGCACTTACATACCTAGAAAATGGTATCTATGAGTTTGTGGAGTAAAATCTAAGAAGCATGAGCTTACTTAGAACTACAATAACTAGAATCATCAGTTCTGAGGCAGTGTCTTTAAAATTGTGGTTAAGAGATAAAACAAGTAATCTGAGTAAGAACGGACTCAGTGAAAGAAAGATGCACTTACAATGTAGAACTTTTTTAGGAAAAAGGGGAAAAAAGCTCTGGCATATCACACCAATAACTTTAAAAGTGTGGTATGTTAGCATACTACAGTCTTCACTTTAGTTTTTGTTTCCACTTATTGGAATGAGAGGAGAGCACACAGATTTTGCATAAGCTTCTCCAATATGAAGTGAAATAACATCTGAAACAGTTTTAGAAAATAACATCAGTTATCAATTGTTCTCTAGTTACAAGTGTAAACAACTGATATCTCAATACTGGTAAATTAGGTGATGACTTCATACAACATATGAGTAATTAAGTGATTTTTCTGTGTTAACAACTAATAACAGAAGCTACTACTAAAATAACATCAGAGGTCTAGAGCAGAAAGAGAGATGTGAACTGAAAGGTTTACCAGATGACTGTTAGTTTAGGAAATGGAGCAAACCATCGTGTAAGGAGAGAAACCAATGTGACAATTAGCAAGAAAGACGTGTGTTAAGCTCCCTTCTCAAGAAAGGAAGACAAATACTGTTCTTCCCTCTTTCAGGAAATGCTGGTGCAAAGTTGTGACAGATGTGTCACTAGGAAACAATTGGTCAGGAGAGATGTTATAAACAAGGTAGGCTACATGGTAAGGAAAAACAGAGATTGCTCTACTAGAGGCATAACAAAGAACAAAGCAAAAGAAACCCCCAAACAAAAAAAAATATGCAAAACCAAACACCCCCACAAAATAGAAGCTTATAGTGAAAGTCCTTGCCCAAAAAGCCTAACAGTACCATGACAGCTAGCGACATTACACTAGAAGTTTCAGTACTAAGGAGTTAAACAGTATTGTCCAAATTCAGGAAGAAATAGGTCCCACTTACATATGAGCTTACAGATGGGTATTGCAGAAGCTCCTCTGTAGATGTCAAGCATTGGTCTGACATGCTGTAAAAAGAACACCAGCTAGCAGTCCATTTAGTGATCCTCTTTAGAAAATAGCCACCAGGTTAAGCAAAAGAACATTTGGCTTATGGTCCTCACAGGTCAAGGGAAATAGATCAAATAAAGCCTATGCTATTCAGTCTTGACAACATTAGGACACCACAGGCTGAATTCCTGAGAAAGTTAATATTAAAACTCTATTGACTATACTTCATGGATACAGAGCCTGTGTATTTTCTAAGGTACTTCATAAAGTCCATATTCTTCTCTGAATTAGTTTTCAAGGTTTCTTTTTCAAATCCACAGACTGAAATGAATAGGCACTTTTGTGCTCAAATCATGAGTCTTGCGTATTTGCAGTTGGTTCAGTTCTGAGACTAGGAAGAGCTGAAAGCAGTGGTCATAGTTACATGTGTCCTCTTACAAAATAAGCTTTCCTAAGTGTCTTCCAAGATAGGGCAACAGCTAAAATTCAGTCTGTGAAATTATGAACTCTCCCTACAGCCCCATCAAGGTTTTAGAAGGCATTTTGTGGTGGTATTTTTCATGGGCTGGGGAATTGTAAGCAAATGGACTTTCTTGTCTTTACTTACTTTAAACACAGTCAAGGAAATAATTCTTTGAAAGAAAAGTACAGTTGGTCCATAGAAACATGACATAGACTTATAGAACAGTTAGGGTTGGAAAGAACCTTAAGATCATCTAGTTCCAGCCCACCCAACATAGACAGGGACACCTCACACTACACCATGTCACCCAAGGCTCTGTCCAATCTGGACTTGAGCACTGCCAGGGATGGAGTATTCACAACTTCCCTGGGCAACCCATTCCAGTGCCTCACCACCCTTACAGTAAAGAACTTCCTCCTTATATCCATCTAAACTTCCCCTGTTTAAGTTTGAATCCATTACCCCTTGTCCTATCACTACAGTCCCTAATGAAGAGTCCCTCCCCAGCCTCCTTATAGGCCCTCTTCAGATACTGGAAGGCTGCTATGAGGTCTCAATGCAGCCTTCTCTTCTCCAGGCTGAACAGCCCCAGCTTTTTCAGCCTATCTATCTTCATATGGGAGGTGCTCCAGTCCCCTGATCATCCCCGTGGCCCTCCTCTGGACTTGTTCCAACAGTTCCATGTCCTTTTTATGTTGAGGACACCAGAACTGTACACAATACTCCAAGTGAGGCCCCATGAGAGCGGAGTAGAGGGGCAGGATCACCTCCTTTGACCTGCTGGTCACGTTCCTTTTGATGCAGCCCAGGATACGGTTGGTTTTCTGGGCAGCGAGCACACACTGGATCTGGCTCATGTTCAGTTTCTCATCGACCAACACCCCTACAAGTGTAGAGCCTTGCATTTGTCATGGTTAAGCTTCATAAGGTTGGCATCAGCCCCAAGCATCACAAGCATGTCAAGGTCCCTCTGGATGTCATTCCTTCCATCTTCATCTTTCATTTTCAACTTCTCATGGAAACTAATGGGTAAACTGTAATTGTTGTTTAAAATAGGCTCAAGGAAGGCTATACCTTTTCAAAAAGTAGCAATGGGGAAAAATTCAACATGACATTAGAAGGCTTATTGGCAGGCAGCGAGATTGTTTCCGGTGGCAAATAGATTAACTCCTACTTCTCTGAAATTTAGGAACTGATATTTAAGTTTCCGCTTTTACACAATACTTGCTTTCCAGCTAGCCTTACTCATTATTGTACTTCATGGATTAGTGCTGTAGCCAAATTACCATATAGGAGTAGTCTAGTCATAGTCAAAGCATACACAGAATACTAGGACACATCTAAAGGTCACCCTTGAAGATGTAGTACAAAAGGCAAGAGGTGGCCTCAGACTACTTTAGAATTAATATTTCCTTATTATTTGAAAGTGTACCCCTTTTGTACCAATTTCACTTAAGAAAAAGATGTAGCTTACATCTTAGAGCTTATTGACTGGTTGGAAGTTTAGCAAAGTGAAAATACTGTCAATATTGCATTACAGGATAGTCACCACCATGTTGCCTCCTAAAATGTGAGATAGAAATTTGTTGAGATGTCAGCTGTCTGCTCTCCTGCATAGACTACTTTGACACTCAATAAGGTATGAAATGCTGCTCTTTAAGTCTGTAATGGATAACATGAAATCACCACTCTAAGTAAATACAGGAAAATGATAATGCTTTAAGAGTTCAAAAGTGCTGGCAATCACATGAGATGCACAGTCAAATTATAGGTACAGTGGATTTCATAATGCAAAACAAAATTAATAAAGGCACATGTGCTTCAAACTCAATTCAATATTTAAACTCCATTTCCAGAAAAAAAATCCAAGGCTTCAGATTTTTCCAATAAAATCTGTTGTATTGTCAAGCATCCAATTTCATATGACAATATTTATTAGAAGCACATGGGTAAAGACAGGGTTTTAAAAGGGTAGGTCAGCACTTCAGAAGTGAATGGAATTTTAATAGTGATTGGCTCAAGCTGTAATGAAGCATATGAATCAAAAATTAGGAATGAGTTTTTATGTAAGATTTTTATTTTGAAAAACTGTAAAGAACGCTAAGGTGTACAACAAAACAAAATCCAGTGTTTCATACTTACTCAAGCAAATTAATTCCTCAAGTTACATGTGAACAGAGGCTAGTCTGTGCAAGAAACTAATTTTCAGGGGAAACAAAACAAAGGAGGCTGTTTATTAGTTGCCAACAACACATTACACAAGTACATTTAGACCTTATCATGACCGTAGATTAATCCCCTTGAATTTTTGTTTTTTTAAATAACTGACATTTTAAAAAAATTATTTACAAAAGTACTGCAAAGGTTCACATTTCTACCACCTCAATACTTTCCTCTTCTTTCGACCATTTCTACCATCTCAAAAGTATCCCCAATGTTTTTTTTCAGTAACTACATGGTTCTCAGGCTCCTTTGGCATAAGATCCATTGATAATACGTTCTGACTCAATCTATTGATCTGTTTCAAACCTTTTACATCCGAAAACTTCTGGTTCGGTGAAATGGTTGAAAGGGCTTTTTTAAGGCCCACCTCAGTATTGGTGGCTTCTGTTTCGTTTTTTCTGGAAATAGCACCGCTTCAGTTTCAGGCGTGGGAAATCGTACTCTATACACTTCAGGGTAAGATTTCTGAAACTGGAAAAGTACATCGAGTTAAATGAAGAATTTACTCAAACTTCTATACCTCTATATATAGAAAATTAGGTGATCTTTTCTAATATGGCTTGATGGATCACAGTACCATTATTCCAAACAATTACAAAGTTTGACATCCCCAAGTGTATCTATGATTTTAAATCTCAGTATTTCTCTGAAGGTCTACATGTCTGAAACTTGATAAAACTTTGAAATTAGAATTAAAGACTGTGAAGGAATTTTTATTTACTTGCTTAAGCTTCTTCTTCTTATCTTTCACAGATATTTCTTTATTCATTGCAATTTCTTCCAATAAAGCTGCCAGTGGTTCTTGAGAGCCAGTTGCTCTTTGATATTCAAATTCATCTGTACTGATTTGGTGGCAAAATGATTGAGGAAATGTTGCATCAGTATCAGCTCCAGCATATTTTATCTGAAGAAAGATTGAAAAAAGAGCAGCTATGTTTTCCACAATAGATTTTAAAAACTGGCTTAATCACCTGAAGTCATTAATTAGAAAAGATATGGAATAAAGACCTTAAATTGTACCTCCTATCTCTCGCACTAGTTGAGTTTTAGTAAGTCAAATGATGACACAGATTGAGCCTTTTTAACTCTTGGAAAAAGTAAAAAAATCAGTTTTTCAGTAGCAATTAAATAAGAAAGAACTGAAAAGAAGCTTTGAACAAAAGAAAGTATAGTATCAGGAAACAATTATATTAAACAGCTGAGCAAGTAAGGATGGCTCTAAAAGAAAATCAGAACATTAATGGAAACACTTATTAACCATCCACAGTTTTCTTCACTACCACAACCATAGCTTGCCCATTCCATAGAAAAGATAATGCTGACCTACAGAAAACATATTTAAGAGTTCTTGATCTAAAGTATTCAAAGTCTGCAATTTACACTTAAATACATACTTATGTTTTAATATAGCAGTCAAAATTAATAAACTGTTCATAATCTAGCAGACACAAAAAAGTCTTTAAGAATTGTCAAACTTCAGAGCAGAAAGGATAGATTTAATCTAGAAACAGAGGCATAAGAGACTTTTTTTGTTAGACACCTACTTGGACTCTCTGGAGATTTAGAACATGCTCCTCTATAGAAGATTTTAAGGTGGTGGGAACACTTAAGATCTCTTGATAATTGTCCATGAGAAAAGATACTAGTTTAGCAGCAAGCAGTTCATCCAAGTCCATTTCATCCTTTGAGCAGAGGATACAATGAGAAAATGCCTGAACCATCTGAGGGGAAAGAAAAAAAAAAAAGACAAAAAAAAACAACATAAAATTAAATTCCAACATTACTGTGTATTTTTCTGTTTGGTAATGGGGAATCAGGATGTATTTAAAAACTGATGTTTTAGAAAAAGAGCTTTTGACAGCACAATACTTCAGATACTTCCAAAAAAACTTCAATTCAAGGTGGGGAGATTAAAAAGTATTGTTATCTGGGTGGACTGAAGATGTCTCTTGTGTCATATACATAATCTAACCCTGACTTTAGACTTATGACTGAATTAAGTTTTATTCTAAAGATTTCATCAAATGGCCACTTTATGTGTCTTTTCCAGTTAAACAGGGCACAAACAATTCAGAGATTTTAAAAATAACAAAGGAATTTGACAAAAGATAAGCACCAGAGGTGAAAAAATTATACTGTTATTTTGAAATCGAAACAAATTTCAGGTCTAGATCAATTCATGTAGTCTCATGCCCAAATATTCAGTTACAAGAGTTTTCTGAATGTGCTCCAGTAGCTTCTAACAATAAAAACACAGAAAGCAATCAAGACTGTCATATACCATAGACTACACTGCTGAATTAAAACTTAGTACAAAATACTTGGACTGTAAAGCATTCACTTCCAAAAATAACATTTAGATAAACATAATTACTTTCAAAGACCATTTACAGTTAATTAAATTTTAACCTTGGCAGTCAAAAAATTATCTTTTTTTAATCAAATACTATTCATGGTTAATTAAAAATGTAATTGCTGTAGAACAGATTTAGATTTATGCATGCTACTATAGTATTTTTATTGGAGTGGCTTTACAGCTTAGCTTTCTGCAGCCCTTCTTACAAAAGACTTTAGCCAAAATAAATACATGTTCTTAGACAGTCAAAATTGCTAAGTTTTGCCTAATAACTTTGTAATAACATGCTGTTGCAAACATCAGTGGTAACTCTACAAGAAGTCCTACAGAAAGAGTATTAGCTCCTGAGGGTTTTGTCAAAATCTGTAGTTGAAGTGATGAAAAATACTGAAATAAACTGGTAGGAATGTTTTTCAAATGGCTAAAACCAAGTAAACCAAAACATTCAGCTGCATATTGCTAACTATGACTGAAACAGGCAGTCTGTTTCTCTCTCACACTCTCGGCAGTGATGAAGAACACCAGAAGCCTTATCTACTGTATTTTTTCTTTTCTACTGAAAAGGGAAACCTGTGGCAATTTAATTTTGAAAGATATGGAAGTCTCCAAAATCTGAGCAAATTCATTTATTCAAAACTGACCAAGAAATCCCAATTTATTCAAATTCAGAGTAGCTTTCTAGAATTTAAACTAGAATAGACAAACTATTCTTCAAACAAGCAAGTTATATTTTGCACACATTCTCTACAGCAAATGCAGAGAATCTTTTATCTGTGCTACTCCAAAAGCCTTGCGTAGACCTTTTGCCTTACACACTATACGTACCAAGGTTCTGGTCCTCACTGATTCAGAAAGAGGTGATAAATCCTTGTTTAAGCTGATTCTAGCCATCATCCTCACCAACAGCTGTAGTCTTTTCCGATTTTCTGGTGGCAGCAACAGACAAGATATCTGAAGAGCTTCTATGGCCTTGCTGTGTTTTTGCAGCAGACCTGTTTTATGCAAGATCAGAAGTTTGAGCAAGATTTCTTAATTACGTTTCCATAACAATTAATGTAACATTTTAAAATCTGTCTTCCCACATTCCTCTGCTACTCATTCGAGACTACCTTATAACTCCACTCCCCAACATGTTTAGGAAAACACCCATAGAACTGGACTAGTAGAACTGGGCACCTTGTTTAAGTATTCACAACATTTCATTCTGATGCATCAGGAGATATTAATAACCATAACCAACAACTCTAGATAGTGGTAGACGTGAAAAACTACAATGGTTTTGTTCATCCTTTGTTTGTTTATAGCCCTTAGCTTTAAACACATCTGAGATGTATGCACAGATGTATCAAGCACATAAAAAAAGTTCAGTCTGAGGCAACAATCGGAGAACCTAAATAAAACGTGCTTATGTACTAGTGACAACTGCGGCAACACTGACGTGTCATTCACGCCTATAGAAGTTAAATCTATGGCCAGTTCTAACTAGAAACTCTTGAGAAAATGCAGATTGTGAGCATGGCATTGATATTTGAAGACTGGACAGGCACAGTAGTCTCTGATAGTAGTTTAGGTATCTATAAAGAAGTCTCACCACCAAAATGTCATCCACTTTTGGGCTTCTAAGGCTCGCTGAAGGAAGCATCTACTACACATTTACCTAAATAGCACTAGTATCAAAACAAAGCAGAAGTCAGGACCAAAATATCCACATGAGTGAAGTCTAACAGCAACTTCTCTTAAAAAAAAAAGAACAAGGAAAATGACAGAGATACATTTTATTTTTCCCCACATAAGATTATAGAGGTTGGAAGAGATCTCTGGAGATTATGTAGATTTCTCTGCTCAAAGCAGGGTTACCTACAGCAAGATGTCCAGGATTATGTTCAATCAGGTTTTGAATTGCCAATTGTTCTGTTATTGAATATCATCCATAGAAGTCTGGCTCTCTGCGTTCCCCCCACATCTTTTATAGTGTCTTTTATACACATTAATAAGATCCTCCCTGAGCTTCTGTGCCTTCTCTTCTCCAGGTTAAACAGTCACTGCTCTCAGCTTCTCCCCACATGATAGGTTCTCTAAGGCTTTGATAGCTTTGGTGGTCCTCCACTGCACTCACTGAATAGGGGCAAGATAAACTCCCTCAACTTGCTCCCAATGCTCTCAAGGTAGCTAAGCATGTTGACGGTATTCTTTGCCAAAAGGACACATTGCTTGCTTATTGTCACTTTAGTGCCCACCAGGACTGCAAAGTCCTTCTCAGTAAAGCTGCTTTTAAGAGTCAGCCCCAGCATACACTGGTGCATGGGGCTATTCCTCCCCAAGATGCCCTGAGAATAAATAATTAATAAGAGTTGCTCATAAAGAATCACTATAACCTGTGCAAAAAGCAAGTTTAATCTTACCAAGTTAGTGAAATATTTGATGATTACTGACACCTTAGTCCTATTTTTTTAGCTATTCTTGAAAACTAATTTCAGCCAGCCTCTTGGACGGGAAGTGCTCTAGACAGTCTTCATTTGACAACAGAAGCAAGTGAGGCATCTTAATATGTTTACACAAATAACCTATCATTTCTGCAAACATTTCTCAGGTTTTAAGATGGAACTTTTAGACATCTGCATATCACATCACGGCTGCACCAAATGACTAAAAATACAATCTAATAACACTTTCTTTGCTATTTACTGAAGCCCTCCACTAAACAAAGTTTATCCACTGAAAAAAGGAGCCATGTGGGAAAGTTGTAATTCCCTGAGGGTAGCAATATGAAAAGTTTAAAACTCAAAGATTGAACTTTTGTTTTATAAAATTCTTTATCTTAAGAATTACTACCAATTTAGAAAGCCATACTCCATTAAAAAAAAAAAGGTGCAAAAATGAAACCATAGACATATTTTCTAAATGTACGACTAAGGAATTACTACTTCACTGCTGGCATCAGTACTAGCATTGTCACTTACTATAAAATAGTATTCTATGGAACATGCATAGAATCATAGAATGCTTTGGGTTGGAAAGGACCTTAAAGATCATCTGGTTCCAACCCTCCTGTAATGGCCATAGACACCTTCCACTAGACCAGGGTGTTCAAAGCCCCATCCAGCCTGGCCTTAAACACTTTAAGGGATGGGTCAGCTACTTCTTCCTCTACATTCACCTGCAACTTCATAGTTGTTTGTACATTAGCCTCTACTGTTAAGACTTAATTACTTATTGCACAGAACAAAATTCCTGCCCTTTTTCTCGCAGCTGACATCACCCACCCACCCCCACCCTCCCCAGTCTTCTCCTCTTTCCCTCCAGCACTCAAGAATCATACCTCAAATCTCACAAGTGTGAGAAGACCTTGCTACCAAAACTACAGATCAGACATCTCTGCCTTATATTTACTTTTTTATTTTCCTACAATTGGTTCTAAGTAGTTTGGGGTACAAAAAGATGAGTTAGGCTTTAGAACAGGTATGATGAATTGTCTTCTTGAAATCTGTCCGCCAGTTAGATAGTTAGCATATTCTTGAATTAAAAAAAAGAAGTGGAAAAGATACCTGAGAAACATGACATTTTCAAATATATATTACCAGTACTTCACAGTAAACTGAATAAACATGAAGATTCAATACAAAGTAATTCTTGAAAGTCTGCATCCCATGGTTTTTTTGTGTAAATCTATTTTTGTTAGTAAGGAAGTATTCCATACTAATGCCTCATTTTTTGTGAGAAACATTTTTTTTACTTTTTGAAATAGTGCATGGTTTGCTTTCATTTCCACATAAACATTGGCATGAATTCTTTCTCCTCATGTTTACATCTGTGAAATACTGTGAAATGAAACTCTTAAAACCTGAAAGATGTAAAATACAATGGAAAAGCAAACAGAAAGGGGGTATGAATTGACAGCAAGAATTCTTAGGAGATATTATCAAGAGTATCTATTGTGGAAGAAAAAGAAGTCAGAAGAAAAGGAACTGCATTCAGTTTGAAGCAAGATCATCAACTAACAAAGTATAAAAATACTAAATTCCAGAAGCCCTTTTTCAACTCAACAGTTTGTTAAAAGCAGTGGTGTTCCCCGTTAAAGCAGCTCAGAAAAGTGACATGCTACACAGCATGCTTACTTTTCAACCCAGTTGTTCTATTCCGAAATGTAACCATAAAAAATAAAATACTTTCACATTTACTGTCTTTCGGTAGGCCATCTTTAGCTACAGTATAGCTGAATCTGATATAGCATGAACCCTTAAAGTTAGCTAATAACGAGACTATTGTTTCTGTAAGCACTAATGTCTACTGTAAGTAAAGCAGTATTTCCATTTCCTTCAGATATCATATTGCCATAGTTAAAAAAAGTCCTTACAGCCCTAATTTTTTTTAAATGTAGACATCAGTCAAGCAATTTATAAAAGCTCCTGTGAGTTTCTAAAATGCTTAGGCATTTAAAAAAAAACTGTTCAAATTCATCTGATAGGTGTGGCAGCACTAAGCAATGAACAGAGGCCTTTAAAAATCATGAAGACAAGCAATGGAAGACTTGTGTAATAAATTTTAATATTAAACTGTTCACCAGGTCCTAAAGAAATGAGTTGTGATACATTTGGATATGATGAATTCAAATGAATAGTTTATATCTTAAACTACTTACCTAACACACTAACAAAAACATCAAAAAAATTAAATGTGAGAAGAGGTTCTTTCATCTGGCCAAAGTAGTCCACTATAGTTTTGAAGACATCTCTTTCAAAGCCTGAGTATGTAGGCTGCTTCAAGTCTGAGCAGCTGGGCCCTAGAAAGGAGGGGGGGGGAAACAACAAACAAATTGAATTTGCAGCCATCAAACAGATCACCATTTTCTATTCCTGCCATTTAAAATGCAACATCAAGCAGAAAAAAACCAACAACTTAGACTCATTATTCAACATAAAAGTGAATAATGTGTTCAGCTATTGAATTGACCAATTTCCAGTAGGTCCAATGGAAATAGACAAGGTTAAAATACGAACAGTTAAACCTCTATATATTCCATTGAAATAAACTGCATTAGTAGAATATATGCTGGTTGACCTTTTCTAGCTTTTAGGCAACAATCTGAAAAAATATCAACTGTGAATATAAACAGGATTTGATAAAGCAGTAAGGCAGACAGTTTAACTGTCTTCCATGAGGGTGGGTTGGTTTTGTTCCCCCTCTCCCCCCAAAAGGACTTACAATTTGCTAGACATTTCATTGCTGATAATATCCAGTGAGGTAGTTCTTCTGCATTGAGGAGAAACAGACAGAAATTAAAAGGACAAAAAAATCTGAGAAAAATTAAAAGATAAAAGTGAAACAGAAATTCTTTAAGAAGTTCCCCCTCTCTGGTAGTGCAACTGATTGCAAAGGCAGGCTACACCTTAATACAGGATATAGCTTTAATTATATCTTACTTGAGTACCTCCAGTACTCCCTATCATCAACCAGTTGTGCCTACAGCTCTTACAATTCAACCAGCAAAATGAATTGTATCTCAAATCCTTAACCTGCCCCTGCAATAAACAGCCAAACTAGTTCAAGCTACACCTTCAAAAGTGCCTTACAGTGAAATGTTTACTTTGCATTGAAAATGATCAAAAGCACTCATACATGCCGTTTCGTCATTTTTGCAAGGAGAGGGTTAACGTCCTGAGGTGCTCCAATTGTCTTTAAAAGGAATATGTATATGCTCTGGAAAAGGGTTCATTTACAAACCAAAACAGGTTACAATCTCACAGTTTAATACTCTACAAATCTTCCGGAAAACATGGTGATAATAATATTGTAAGTGATAAATCATAGAATTATAGAACAGGTAGGGTTGGAAAGGACCTTCAGATCATCAAGTTCCAACCCCCTGACATAGACAGGGACACCTCACACTACACCATGTCACCCAATGCTCTGTCCAACCTGGCCTTGAACACCACCAGGGATGGAGCATTCACAGCCTCCCTGGGCAAACTATTCCAGTGCCTCAGCACCCTTACAATAAAGAATTGCCTCCTTATATCCAATCTAAACTTCCCCTGTTTAAGTTTGGACCCATTACCCCTTGTCCTATCACTACAGTCCCTAACCAATAGTCCCTCGCCAGCATCCCTATAGGCCCCCTTCAGATACTGGAAGGCTGCTATGAGGTCTCAATTCAGCTTTCTCTTCTCCAGGCTGAACAGCACCAACTTCCTCAGCCTGTCTTCATACGGGAGGTGCTCCAGTCCCCTGATCATCCTCGTGGCCCTCCTCTGGACTTGTTCCAACAGTTCCATGTCGTTTTTATGTTGAAGACACCAGAACTGCACACAATACTCCAAGTGAGGTCTCACAAGAGCAGAGTAGAGGGGCAGGATCACCTCCTTTGACCTGCTGGTCACGCTCCTTTTGATGCAGCCCAGGATACAGGTGGTTTTCTGGGCTGCAAGTATACGCTGAAGCCTGCTCACATTCAGTTTCTCTTTGACAAACACCCCCAAGTCCTTCTCTGCAGGGCTGCTCTGAATCTCTTCTCTGCCCAACCTGTAGCTGTGCCTGGGATTGTTCTGACCCAGGTGTAAGACCTTGCGCTTGTCATGGTTAAACTTCATAAGGCTGGCATCAGCCCAAAGCATCACAGCAGCAAAGATGCTTTACTTTCTCCCTGATGTGCAAAGAATTTTTAATCTCAGCACTGGTTTCAAAACTCATTAACTGAAAATCAAACCAAATTTTACATATTTCTCAGCATACATTCTGATTTTTTTCTCAATTTTTATACACATTTTCTTTATGCAAATAGTCCAGTTCAGGCAGTTAAAGCCTGGTCTGACAAAGCCAACTTGAAGTGAGTAGTATCCTTTTCTTTATAAAGGAAAAGTTGCTGCGTTTTTACTTTAGTCTTTCAACCCTGCTGAAGCAGCAATATGTTTAAGAGAGTAAATATGTAATAAACATCAATTCTGACTATGGGGTTGTCAGAGGACAACAACGGCATACTTTGTAAAAACTGTAGTATCGATTTCATCACACAAGTGGAAAGATGTTACCTGTTACTATAGATTAGAACAAATACTTTTTATATACTAGTAAGCTATACTATTAAAAAGTTAAATGAAAACTTCTAAAATACTCACTTGATTTGTCTTCTAAAATGACAATGCCTTGCTTATTGACATTGTACACATTTTGGAGTATATGCTTTGAATTCACAATTTTTATGTCTAACACTTCATTCAGGGAATCCAAACCCAAGACCTTTTGTAATCTGCAAAAACACATAAACACACAGTTCATACATCATGTAATCTGAAAAAAAGCAAACATGTAATTTCAAGATAGAAAGGATTCTGAAATTGAGACCTCTCCATTTCATAGACTTATAGAACATTGCAAGTCAGAAGTGACCCATAAGGATCATTGAGACTAGCTTGCTGCTCCTCACAGAACTAGCTAACACTAAATAATATGACCAACAGCATCATCCAGACACTCCTTGAACTTTGACAGGCTTGGTGTTGCCACCACTTCCCTGGGGAGCCTCTTCAGTGACCAACCACCCTTTCAGTGAAGAACCGGTTTCCAGGGTCCAATGTGAACTTCCATTGGCACAACTTTATTCCACTCCCTTGTCATCAGAGAGAGATCAGCACCTTGAGCTCCATTTCCTCCCTTGAGAAAAATCGAGGCTGCGATGATGGAACCCCTCAGCCTTCTCTTCTCCAAGCTGAACAAACCAAGTTACCACAGCAGCTCCAAGTCCAGCCCTCAAGGCTTTTCACTATTTAACAGGAAACTGTAAAAAGTGTGCTTCATCTGGAAACACACTTAACAGATTCATGAAGAGCTCCAAAACCACACATAGTAGTAGAAGTGAGGCCACACCCATGCTGTGTAGGGTGGATCAGTTACCTCCCTCAATCATGTGGCTGTGCTGTGCTAAATGTACCCCATGACCCACTTGGTCCTTTTGGCTGGCAGTCTTTTTTTTCCTTTATGCAAATAATTTTGATGCAGGGTGTAGGACAACTTAACCTTGGTAATACCTCCAATCAGGATGAACCATCATCCTCATAATTGTTCAGTTCCACATATGCAGAGCCTCATACTTATTATACAAGGGCATTGGGAAAAGTGGGGTAGTCACAGAGGTGACATGCCTGCTGTGTTGGGCAGGAACTTGTCACCATTGCCCCCTATCCCTTCAGTCACTGCGGAGAGGATAGGAAATCCTGCAGATCACATGTGCTGTCTGCCGGCTGGGTCTGTCTCACAGAAGGTAGGGTATGATTCTATGTATATTATTTTTTCTCCTGCATAAATGTTCTAAAGCAATGTCTTTAACTTTGTATAGATATTCCTTTTGGAAATAGCAGAGAATATCTGAATCCTAAAGCCTTCAGCACCCAATTAGCGACTCCATTTCTTATCTCATAAAAAGTATTTTATTTGTCGTTGAAAGGTTTCATGGTATTGCACTTCTACAGATGTGCTTTTATTTCATAGCAACAAGAAAAAGAGGAAGACTGAGGAGAAAAGTGATTAATAAAGACAAAGCCTACATAACAAAAGGACTTGTGTAACACAACAGAAAAAAGTCAAAAAAGTATTAAGCACAGTAAAGTTTCTTTGCAAGCTTTATTTGCTGAACTCGTTAGTCAAATAATAAGCATATAGTTAGTCCAGCCATTATGGCTTTAATTGCAGCAATGAAAAGTGAACATTATCAGTGAAGACAGACAAGACTAGTACTTACTACACAGTTTTACTTTAACAGCAAACAGCTCACAAACATACTCACTGTGACAAAGTCTGAGATTTCCATATCTCCTCTATATTTGCTTGTGTTAGCTCTCTGCGGAACACAAGCTTGCAGGCTGGTACTTCCCCTATAGCTATACTATGTCTCTTATACCACATCTCAGAATTCTGAAATCAGAAAAGACAATCTTCATTAACTGGTGACTTTTCAAGTACTGAACAGTGTAACTGTATATTATATATATATATAGTATATAACAGTGTAAATTGTATGTTTATGGTACAGCATGCTCCTTATTAGAAGTATTCTAAATACTCCTAAACTCCAATATACTCCCCAGGATGCAAGTGAGTGTTCAAGTTTCACAGGCATGCAGAATCTTTTCTCATTTATATAATTTTTCAGCTTGGGTAAGTTATGTGAGTCAGAATAGCCATTAAAGCTCTGGAGTCAATGGCCTCTAGCCCTGTGTTCAGATCCTTTCCGTTAAAATCAGTTCAAGTCACTTGCTTTCAACTACCATTCTAAGATTAAACATCTGCTTACAGAAAAATTGTTGGAGAATTATTAGATGAGATATCTAAGACTGATATTTCTCCCTGTTCAGTGTATACTGATCATAACTAAACATTAAGTTTGTTAACAGGTTCTCTACATGAAGAAAGTAAAACCAAATAGCTACAGCGGAAGACACTCTTTAGACCTAGTCCAACATTAGAATATAGCAAAGCATAGAATGCAAGAGACTACTATCCTGTACTCAAACTTCACATCCAAGCTCAGTGCTTGAAGATTGCCATCAATATGTCAATAGGTGAACATAAAATACAGTTTGTGTCAGTCGTGCACTTTTTAAGGCAAAACTCCTAGTCATTCACAGTTTTTTGATTTACATCACAGAGCAGTCCCCCATCAACAGTATTCCTTGTAACCTCAACCAACCCACAAAATGCACTCCAGTAATGCGCTTAATTATTCCAAGCACTCATCATCTGTAATTCCACAACAGTGGACTACAGCTAGTTTGGAACAAATAGCACCCTCTGAAATTACATTCTGGTCTTCCGCATCAGTAATTCATTACACAGAATGCCATCAAGCCACACAGAGCCAGTATGTGGCCTGACAGATGCTGGAGCAATTTAAAGTGCCACCACTTGCAGCTACCTATCTACTTCACCGTTCCAGAGGAAGTTACACCTTTCTGTAAAAAAGCCAGTAATAGAAGCTCTTTTTTTTTTTTGTCTCAGTTACACCAATTTACAGTCCACTGTATTAGCTAAAACTGATAATGAAAGAAACTTTGAGCTATGCCAGAATGTATGCTGTTGTATATTGCTAATTCTTACCATGCCAGGAAGCTTGGACAGACATTTTGAGCAGAAAGTTGGAGGCTGCAACATGATAAAACTGCAGCAGATACTTGCTCAGTAACTGACATACTCTACCCTCTTGACTTTTTTCTTTCTTCCGTCTTAAATCTTCTACCTACTGCTGAAATTCTAAGGACCTTAATGCTTTTTCCTCTTCAGAAAAGTGCTATAAATGAAAGGTGCACTGGATCTACACATACGTAGTTGATTTACAAATATGGAATAACCCTTCACATTCAGGACCTCTAGATATCCAGCAAAACAGTAGGAGCTACTTTTCCAAACAAACTATCAATCACCAAGAAATCGAAGGCTAGTGTCCTGCATTGAGAAGCATTAAGGAAAAGGCCAAAATTATCAATGAAGTCCCAAGAATTCACAAAATTTGAGAACACTCACATACAAGGTAACACTGGAGGGACTGTTCTGAATATACACAACTCCAGAAGCCTAGGCTTTAAAGATGCCCTGTGGTGAGAGTTGATAAAAGTTTTGTTTACTAATAAAAGAAACAGTCGTTTCAACAACTTTGCAAAAGCTGGATCAATCCACATAAAAATGGGGCAGGATGATTCTCCAAGCTGAAAGGGCAACAATGAAACCAGGATAACTTCTCCTTAGCTACAGCATATTCCTTTATCAAAAAGGAATTCTCCTAACAGCTAAGAAGGAAGTAATACTGTATATATTCTGCTACACAGTATCTGAATAAGAGTTACAGCATAAATGACAGTATTTTTCTTGTAGCGTAACAAATGCCATACCCGAATTTGAACAAGCTGGAATGAAAGCATTCTGGCAAATACAGCCATGCTGAACTTCAGATGCTCAGGATATAATCTGTAGCAGAAAGAACACTAAAAGCCAGCATCCCCAGCAAATCATTAACAACTGTACTTCACATAAGTTTAGAATAAAAGTATGTTGCATTTAATTTTATAGCTAAGTATTATGTGCAACAACAAAGAAATCATTAGTTCTGCTTTCCAAATATGCTTATGTCTGGGGAAATAAAAACTGGATATCTTACCATTGCAACTGTTTTCACTAGGATGTGGTCTTGAGAAACACCAGCCTTTGCTTCATTCCAGTCTGGAAATTTAATTACTTGATTTCCACATGAAGGTTTCTTTGGATATGACTTCAGTGGTGAGGAAGGAGGAAATCTACAATTAGAGAATATTTTTTAATGTCTCTGAACTCCACCCTATTCCATATTTGCCAAAGCAAAACTGTAGTAAGCCTTCACATGCAAAAAAATACAAAAAAATGCCTTGGACATTCACAATGCAACCTAATTGCCTGAAGACAGGTTTGAGTGACACATAAAACAACTCAAAGTGTCTTGTTTGGTCTCCATCTGCTGCTCCAGAACAGTTTAGGTTCTTTGCACCTCCCATGACATAGCTGAACCATGGGTGAATGTCTGATATCACAGTGCATCCCAAATAGCAGCAGCTGCCTATGCATAGCAAACTAACTCAGGTCTTCACCAGAAAACACTGACTCTGCTGAAAAAGCTGTGGGTAGATTTTCTGCATGTCAAGTGAACTGCTAGCATGCATCATCTCTTAAAGCAAAGCTATCTAAGTCACATAACTTTTAAAAGACTTAATTAGCATACACACATGTCCACACAAGGTTTTGTCTGTACTACCATGTTCTTCTGTGTTTACATGCTTCCTATGTGAAGACCATATCCGGCAGTCTTTTTTTCTGAAGTCTTTTCCCAGCTGACTATGCAGGAAACTCATTCAATTTTTAAGGCATTTCAAAAAGTGTCTTGAAGAAATCAGCAGAAATAAACCCTAAGGTAGCCCTTGCAGAAAACAAGAAAAACAAACTATCGCAGGTCACATTCAGCTCAGTCACATCTCCAGCTTGACCAGAATTAAATTACTGCTAAACCTAGGTCAGAGCACGTATAAGATAATTAATGGCAGCACATCAGAAAGACAAATCAGTTTGGTGGCAACATATCAGCAAACTGGCCCAGATCAGATCTTGTTTATCTGCACTCTGATATCCCCGAGATGATGAGATTCCTGATGCTTCAAGAAAATGCTTCCACCTCACTCTTGAATAGAAAATAGTTATGTCTGTGACCATGCAACTAGAACTTGTTTGCCACTTTGTAGTATGCGTGTATATAATAGAATCACAGATATAATGCAATTCCAAAAAATTTAAAGCCCAACAGCTTCTGAAATTGTAACTTCTCTTTTATTATTGTAGACTATGCTGAGCCCGTAAGCCAGAATACACAGATAGTGTTTGCAAATTTTTGAAGCCACAGTAGTTCTCACTTTCATATTTGATACTTGCCCAATACTATCAAACAAATCAATAGTTGGGAACATTTCTTTTCAACACTCAATGAGCGAGAGCAGAAAACTACATTCACATGGGAAGTTAATGAATGACAGCCGTGTTCCACAGTGTACAGTTACAGTAAATTAACACGGTAGTTTATAGAAAAGATATAAAGCATACGAAGGTTTCCAGAGAAAGCACTGCCAGTGGAATTAAAAGCAACTGGTACTGCTCCCCATACCAACATGATGAAAAACGTATTTACAGCATAACACCAGGGAAGTCCACAAGAGGGAGCTGCAAGGACATTAAATACTTGAATAAGGTGGGCTGGAAAACCGATGTTTAGCTCCATAAGCAGGAGAAAAGCATGCTCTAATAATACTTAAAGACAGACACCAAAACCATGACTAGCATGCTGTTTATTTATACACCAAGCTGAGTGGGGAAAAAGCTAGCTTCACTTCAAGATGCATGAAAAATAGGCAGTTTTAATTAAAAAAAAAAAAAAATTGTTAGTAACTTCGTTGAATGGGAGGTGAATAAAGAGCATCATTAAGACAGATACAACAAAAAAGCTCTGTTGTCCAACAGCAGACCAGTAGGCAAAGCACTACTAAAAAGAATAATAATTACAAAGTACTAATAAAAGAAAAAAAAGCACCAAAATATTTCACCCAACCAACTTCCACAGCCTGGAGCTCAGGAAAGTCATGGCTGAAAATACAAAGGAGAAAATAGCAAAATAATTTGAATGTGCCACAATGCTAATTCAAGAGACAAAAAAAAAAAACACAAACACAACAAACACAGACAAATAAATATAGCATAATACCAGTGGTTACCAAATCCCACATTTAATCGTTCAACAGAGTGAATGCCCAGAAAGAAAGGAGGCAAAGGACTTAATACCTATGGCACCAGTGAAAAAAATGTGTGCAGGTAGAGAGCTATCCTAAGAACAGACAAAGCAGGGCTGAGCTAGGAACATACCAAACCAACACCACACCTATGACCAAGTGCTGTACCAGTATCTAACTGCTTTTCTAACTCTACTTAGACAAGTAAAAACTAGTCCATGAGTAGGTAAACCACCACAATATTTTGCCCTTCTATAGCAGCCATAAGCAGATAGCCAGAGAAGAATTTAAGAACAGGACAAGCATACATGATACTTCCTCCTTTTCCAGCTCTTGGTCATGTTCAGTTCACAGACTGCAGAACCATATCTTGTTTTGAGATACTTAGCAACAGACTTTCTCAGGTGAGCTGCTCATAATATCTTCAGATACAAATCCTCTGGTACACTAGATCCTTCAAATTTGATTTCCAAATTCTAAAATTTAACATTTTCCTTGACTGTTACTTGGAATTTCTTTTTATGGAGCTAAGCTTGGAAAGAACATTCATTTTTATTCCCCACAAGTTATTTAAAACTTCTTCCATTAAATCTGATTTAAATATTTAATTTATTTGGCAGGGAAGCCCTAGCACTCAGTGTCGTTTCCTTCATAAGGTAGACTAAAAACCAGCTACCACTTTTATTGAAAGATATCATGCAGCATGAATCAGTGCTAATTTGTTACTGGAATTAAACAGAAATCCAACCCAATTTGACTGTAAATCAACTGAACTGCAGTGGAACAAGGTTAAAATAAATCACAGGTCTTTAATGAAAAAGAATCTTGACCCAAATTTGTTTATGACAAAGTAAAAGAATTACATCTTTTAAAGTATTTCAAGTTACTTAGTGTGTACAGTTCTGGTGTCCTCAACATAAAAAGGACATGGAACTGTTGGAACAAGTCCAGAGGAGGGCCACGAGGATGATCAGGGGACTGGAGCACCTCCCGTATGAAGACAGGCTGAGAAAGCTGGGACTGTTCAGCCTGGAGGAGAAGGCTGCGTTGAGACCGCATAGCAGCCTTCCAGTATCTGAAGGGGGTCTATAAGGATGCTCGGAGGGACTCTTCATTAGAGACTGTAGTGATAGAACAAGGGGTAATGGGTTAAAACTTAAACAGGGGAAGTTTAGATTGGATATAAGGAAGAAATTCTTTCCTGTTAGGGTGGTGAGGCACTGGAATGGGTTGCCCAGGGAGGTTGTGAACGCTCCATCCCCAGCAGTGTTCAAGTCCAGGTTGGACAGAGCCTTGGGTGAGATGGTTTAGCGGGAGGTGTCCCTACCCATGGCAGGGGGGTTGGAACTAGATGATCTTAAGGTTCTTTCCAACCCTAACTATTCTATGATTAAATAATACTAGGAGAGTAACGAACATATGCACATACAGCACAGGTGTACAGACTAGGGAGCAGAAAAGCTTAGGCACACTCTGCAAAAGAAATTATTCAAGTTCATAGAACAAAATGAAAAGATGATTTCATCCACACCAACTGGAAATTCAGATCTACCTTTCTGCAGAGACAATATTAAAAAAAACTTATTAAAAAAAAATCCATAAAAGGGTAAAATAACCAATTAAACTTTGCATCTTTCAAGACATTTTCAATCTACAACTCAAAGAGCACTGAAAAAGCTTACATCATGAATGACTTTTAGTTTCTGAAGGCCCTTCTCTCAGGAGTAGAAAGGCACTCAAAATAGCCAAGGGGCTGGGGAGAGGGAGAACAAGAGGAATTGAATGCTCAATGGCATCCTCATTCTCATACATATAGTCTTGATATGCATTCTTCCAACACTGACAAACCTGATGTCTGCCAACAGCAAACAGAACTCATTACATCATAAAATCTGCAAAAACTTGTTAGCATTCATGGAATGCAATTGGATAAAAGTGCCTTTCAGAAATATCTAGAAACAAAGGAGGAGGAAAATAAAAAAAGGGGGGAGGGGGAACCCACAACAAAAATAAAGTCTTTAAGGGGGGGGACGGACACATTAACCCCTTTACAAAAGTATTCTACAAAAACATTTGTTACACCAATGAGCAATTACTTAAGTTTTTCAGACACCATATACAGTTTTACCTATATAAATGGCCATCATCTTGAAAGTCCTCTTTGCCCCATCTTCCTTTAATATCCTCAATAACGTGATTTTTCAGGAATTTTTTAAGCAGTTTAACCGTTTGATTGCGAGTCACTTCTGGGCCAAAATTCTGATTAGAGCCAAGCAGTTCATGTAAACAGTCCACTGCCTCCGAGGCTTTGAAGCAATGCTCGTAGCTTTTGAAGCGACACCGATGTTTCCGTAAAGGCATCCCAGCACGAAAATGTTCTATTATCTCATTCCACTAAAAAAGAACAAAGCAAACCGTTACAGCTATTCTAGAAGCACTGAGTCGTGCAAAGCAAGGTGGGGATACAACCAGATATGAAAGCAGAACTACACAAAATTTTTTATCATCTGCATTTACAAGCACACTGAAACCTAAAGCTGTGATTTAAAGAGTGAGACCTGAGAGCAAACACCAGATTGAGAAAACTGAGAGATGTTAGAGCCCCATGCTGCCTATGGCTGTGCAGGTACAGCTTTAACGTACCTGTGGCTTTTAACTTGACAAAAAGCCGGACTAACGCTCCCTTCTGCCGGGTGCTGCGGCCGCTCCACAGACACCCCATACAGACACCGCGTGAGGAGTACCAGCACCCGGAGGGCGGCTGGGGACTATCCCGCCGAGTCCCGGCCACCCGAAAAAGGCCTTGGCTACCCGGGACAGGGCCAGGGCCTGCTAAGGCTTGCGGCGCTGAGCCCTCAGAGACCCAGCCAGCGGTCCAGGCCCAGGCGGCCAGACTGCATCAAGGCAGCGGACCCGTACCCAGAAGGCTCTAGAGAGCCACCGTCGGGCATGGAGGCCCACAAGGACGAGATAATGCTGCACAACAGGCCACACCGGGGACGGGGAGCACTCACCAGGCGGGTGGCGCGGTAGGGCCCGGGGCCGACGAGCTGCGGCTCCATGGACGCGGCCGGGCCTCGCCGTCTCCACGGAAACAGACAGCCGCGCGCACCGCGCCCACCGTTTGAATCCGCGCCCGAGAGACGCCGCCCTCACCTATTGGATGGCGACTGCGGCACGTGACGCGCCCGCACTACCCGTTATCGGTGGGGCGGGGACCCGCTCGTCCCGGGCCACGCCTTCGCCCGGCGCAGGCCCGCCCCCTATGCCCGCTACCTTCCCCCGGGCTCTGCCCCCCGCAGCCTCCCGCCAGCAGCCTGCCCCGCTCCGCGGCTGGGGGACCGCAGGCAGCACCAGGGGTGGGACCGGGAAGAAACACGGCTCCCGTCGGCCAGGCGGGGCGGGAGCGGCCCCTGCGGGGCAATGCGTCTGCTCAGGTCTCTTTGACTTCCCAGGAGGGATGTTGCTTGTTAAACGAACATTAACTGCCCTCTGCTGTTTGCACTTCCTCAGCCGGTAAGTGGCTCGGAACACGGGCTTGGGTTTGGAAAGCAGTCAAACCACGACAGCGAAATACTTCCTGGTGAATTGCCACCTGGACACAGAGAATACAGACTTTTCGTTAATTTGGGACACAAATAAAAGAAATAAAACCACCCCAATTTACAGGACTCAATTTATTAAGAGAGGAGTAGCTAGCAAGAGCAGTGTTTCTCCTCCACCAAATCCAGGGCATACAATATTTCAAACCACTTCCCCTCACTGTCATTAACGTTCACTATAACATTAACGATTCTGCTGACTGTTGCACCCCTCTTTCTAGCATACTCAAATGTATATCACGATTCGGCATGCAAGGTGCACAACTGTTAGGGGAAAAAAATGTGACTATCCACATCAAGACTGTGCTGTTCTCACCGACTGCAACATTGTGTGTTTACTAACGTCAGAGGGGAGTGCAGTACCATTCTGTATTGATATACTAGCACAGTTACATAGTTACACTGCATGCAACCTTTTAGGATACATCCCTGAAACAATGCATCCATACAACTCAATGAAACAACTCTCTTTCTCTAAATGCTTCATAACTCACAGAAAACTAAACCAGCGTGCAAGAAATTATGCAGTAGGAATCTGAAATGGCACTTGCTGACAGCCCACAGAATGATCAGCATCTCCAGTTTCTGCTCCTGATTAATCTCAGACAATTGCCTTCGGAGGCAGTTGGCTAATTGTACAACTGCTGGACTCAGAAGCTTTTCCTGGCTCTTTTCTGTTCAGCACCTGCCCATGCGCAGAGATCCTTACTTTTGACTGTGTTTACTTTCAGCTTCTACTTAAGCCCCAGTGATCCTGAGCAATCAGTTGCAGACATAGGTCCCAAACAGCACATCCAGCCCCCCACACCCAGCTGCAGGATGCACTCCTCCCTGTAGCAATGAGGGGTGGAAGAGGGGTGGAAAATTGTAAAATCAGAGACCAGAATTAGGACTTCCCCTGTCAGCGTGGGAGGAATCATCTGTAAGAATAAGAAGAAATGCCTGCTTCCCTCTCGTATTTGGTTTGCATGGCAAGATTTTGGTAGTGGGGGTCTACAGAAGCTTCTGCCATGTCCAATAGAGCCAATGTCAGCTGGCTCCAAGACAGACCCACCACTGGCCAAGGCCAAACCAGTGACAGGGGTAGCACCTCTGGAGCAACACAAGAAGTGGAAAAAGCTCCTGCGCAGGAGCAACTGCAGCCAGAGAGAGGAGTGACAATACGTGTGAGAAAGAGCTCTGCAGCCACCAAGGCCAGTGCAGGAGGAGGGGAGGAGGTGCGGAGGTGCTCCAGTGCCAGAGCAGAGATTCCTCTGCAGCACCGTGGTGCACCCCATGGTGAGGCCAGCTGTGCCCCTGCAGCCCATGGAGGAGCAGATCTCCACCTGCACCATGGGGACCCTATGCCAGGGTAGAGGGATGCCCAAAGGAGGCTGCAACCCTGTGGGAAGCCTGTGCTAGAGCAGGCTCCTGGCAGGAGCTGTGGCCCCCTGGATAGAGGAGCTCACACTGGAATTGTGACCCCATGGAAGGGACCCACACTGGAGCAGTCTGCTCCTGAAGGGCTGCACCCCATGGGAAGGGACCCACAATGGAGCACTCTGCTCCTGAAGGACAGCACTCATGGAGGGGACCCACGCTGGAGCAGTTTATGAAGAGCTGGAGCCTGTGGGAAGGACTGGCAATTTCATGGAGGACTGATCCCTGTGGGATGAACCCCACAGTGGAGCAGGGGAAGAGTGTGAGGAGCCCTCTCCTGTGTGATGAACTGATCACAGTCCCATTCCTCATCCTCCTGCTGTGGGGGAGAGGAGGTAGAACAAATTGGGAGTAAAGTGAAGTCCAGGAAGAAGGGAGAGTTGAGGAAAGGTATTTTAAGATTTGGTTTTATTTCTCATTATTCGGATTTGAGTGGTAATAAATTCAACTGATTTCCCCAGGTCAAGCCTATTTTGCCCATGACGGTTACCTGCTGAGTGATCTCCCCATCTCTCCCTTCCTTGTATCCATCCATAAGCCTTTCATTATATTTCTCCCCCTGTCCAGCTGAGGAAGGGGAGTGATAAAGTGGCTTTGGTGGGCAGCTGGCACCCAGCCAGGGTCAACCCACCACACCCCCAGAACGAGCAGTGGAGCATCATCCATGTTACAGTGCAGAGCAGCTATTACAGCCTTTCAGTCGAAAGCCCTGCATTTCCCAAGTATGTTTGAACCCACAGGCTCAAGGCCTAAAGGAACCAAACTGTCTCACTTTCGTCATTAGTACAGAGTTAACAAATTATATTTAAAAAAGCAGCTTTCAAGCTTTAAAAATACATCAGGAAAATCCTTTCAGGCTGCTTTAAAAAACAGCAATAGGTCTCCATCCTAAGATCACTCCCTACTTTGGAAGCCACAGGCATATATACACAGGCTGGAGGGTGGTAGGCTTTGAGACTTTGAGTCAATTATGGCATTTGCCATTGAAAACATGTACGGCCCCTGATCAGCACCCTAGCTGACTTGGATTCTGTGCTACAGCACCTCTTTGCATGCACTGACAGGGAGCCTAAACTCTGCACTGAGAATTCTGGGATCAAGCATCTAAAATTCAGGGGTCAAAATATACATCTGCTATCCAAATCCTTTCTGGGATCTAATTTCAACCTGCCACGGCAGCTGATAGCTACAGTGATTAAATACTGGAAAGCTAAAATATAAATTATTTTTTATTTGTTTTATAAAGACAACTTGTATATAATCTCATAATAAATCATTTGCAACTCATGTCCAAGATAAAATTTAAATCCTTTTAGCATTAACAGTGCACCATAAATGGCAGTATCCCCATAAAAGTATCCAGGTAACAAAACTGACTTTCTTGGAATTGTACAACACATAGGTAATTAAAACCTGACCCAAAGTTTTGGGTGTTCGAATACTCCACAGATAGAACAAGCACAGAACAAACTTCTCCGTTTTTAGTGAACATAATAGAAAACAGTACTTTTAAAGATAACATTGAACACCTTCAACTCCACATTTGCAGGTCTGTTGCATGCACCAATTCCTTAATAAATTTATACAGTACAAATGCAACTTCATACAAATAGCTAGGTCCTTTGATTTCTATACATGTGTGACCCTGACAAGCTGCTTAAGCATGGAAAGCAACATACTGGTTAATTCCACAGAGACTGGAGTCGTGCCCAGCCACCACTGCCTGTCTCACTCTCAGTAGCCCAAAGAATGGCACATACGTTTTTGCCTTGTTCTGGACAAGGTAACTGGTGCTATTAATAGAGAAACTTTAACCTTGAGTGGTTAAAACCAAACAATAACAAAACAAAAAAAAAAGACCAGCAAAAATCTTTGTAGGCATGTATTTCAATACATAATGGAAATGGAAAAAAGTAGACACAGTACAAATCATGCTATGTGATACTCAGCCTTCAATCAAAAGTACGTTTTTTAAACTTACTCAACAACTAAGATTCTAGCTACTGAATGACAAGATTATTTTCCTCCCTAAACAGCCTAAGCTACCAATATCAAAATATATCCGTAGATACATTGAATAGTAAGTACATTAGGCTACTTTGGTGAACAAGTCAGTAAGATTTTTTGATTATCACACTATAAGACAGTTCAGATAATCTTCAAATCAGCAGGTTTCCAGTATTCAGAACAATATATTTGTGAGTACAACATTAAGTGAATTAAGTTACCTTAGACAGTATATCCAGAAATCTATGATCTTCAAATGAAACACGATACCTTGACAGATTAGCATACAATCCTTCCTTTAAAGTTATACAGTTTGTAAACAGATGTAGCAATGTTTATGTATTAACTTTATTAATAATAAGCTTGAGATTCTGTAAAAGGTACTTACTGAAGGTTCATTCTTTTAATAAAAAGCAGCTTACAGTCTCAGCAACTCACAACATTTAAGGTGAAGCAATATTTTTCTCTCAGTGTTCAAAGTACTCAGTACTCGTCATACACATTTTAGTTTCCCCAGTGAACATTGTTATTTTCAAGCATCTTCTAGAGATCATCTATCCATTGATTTCTTACACAACAGACATGAACAAGATGTTGAAAAAAATCCTTTAGAGATCCTCACTGCTTTCCTCATCCCCCAAATTCTGAATCCCAAATAACTTATGGTAAAAATACAGATTCTGTTTTGGACGAAAACATACAAAATATACACCATGTAGTGTGTGCACCTAAGTATCTCGATTGTCAAGCAGTTTCTACTTTGACGAATACACTTTCTTGATGTTAGAGATGAGAGTGTGTTTCACTGATCTTTGCTGATCCCATTTTTCGCCATTTTTGGTAGTCGTTTTCCCTTTGTGTAAGCGTGGTACCAGAAGTGGAGAAACAAGACCAAAAACAAAGAGCCATACACCCAGATAATAAACATGAAAATTGGATACTGGTATGGACAATCATCCATGAAGTAGATTTGTGCAATATGGCCTGTAATCAAAACAAACTGGACCTGGAGAAAAAAGGTGAAGAAAGTAAATACTTTTTAAATAAATATCAGCCTTACTACAGAAGCACAACTTGCCTAAGGAAGAACAGAATGCCTTGGGGGAGAGCTCTTTTTAAAACTGACTGAGATGAACCTTTAAAGCCCCTCTTCCAAATGTTACTTCACTGAAAAACACTTCCATATAGAAAAGAAAGAGAAGTCCTGCGACAAACTGAATTATAAGCAGCACTGAGAAACCCATACTAGGAGAATGGGAGTCTGCCCTGGCCAGTTCTGAAGACAAGAGATGGGAGATAGCGTTTGACTAGTTGAGAATGGGAGGCTCCTTTAGAAAAATTAGCCAGAAAAAACCCACCTGACCAAAAAAAAAAAAACACATGAAAAGACAATAATTACAGGATTTCAGAACATGAATTCCCACCTTGCCCACATACTACCATGCGACACGGAATTCTTCAGGTCCCAAAGAACAATTTAATGGACAATTACAAATAAAAGTTTCCACATGAACTCAAAGTTAATAATCCACTGGTAGTTTTTCCAAGACAAAAAGACTAAGCTATAAATATTCAAGCTTAATTGTTCGGTTTCATCTGGTTACATTAACTATTCTATTACCACCAGACCTGGTGCAAGCAGCCAGCCATGACTGCTTCTACCTGCTCCTTTCCCTCCTCCATCAGCATCCTTGCTCGGGCCAAACTAATTGTTTAGCTGGAAGCTGAATTTTGAAAATTCAGCTATTAAAAAGGCCAGGAATGAAAAAGCACCCAGAGTGGTAACCTTCTGAAAGTGATCTAAGGCTAATAAAACACTTACTGTAATTACTGAAAGGGAGAGTTTTAATGCTCTGAGTTAAAGAGAAGCAAGTCCTCTAATCACACATTTTCTATAAAAGAACAGACATGAAATTCTTAAGAAATACTTCTTTTTCCCTTTTGTTACTACTAGCCATATGTAGTCTGTACATCAGTTTTGTTTCCTTGGTGTAAACTATGTTCTAATCATTTTCATACAGGCAATGAGTTTTGTAAATATATTTACCAAGCACTGCACACCTGAAAAGCTCATGTGTCTAAATCTGTGATTATACTGAATACTGAAGTCAGCAGATTTAAGTATATAACTGAGGAGAGCTCACTTTTGTTTCACTCAAAACACAGGTAAACCTTGTACCAGTTGTAAGCTACACACATGAACATAACTAAAGTACAAATGTACTGCATTAATTCTGTGTTAGCTACAATCAGCTTTGAGAGGTGTTTATATCAAACAAGTTACTCACAAGTTGCATAGTGGTCATGTATTTTTTCCACCACAAATATTTATAATAGGCTGGTCCCAAAGAACAGATTCCATAATACGTGTACATGACAACATGGACAATACAGTTTAGCAGCGCATGAAATGTTCCCAAACCACCTGCAATAAAAACAAACACAGTACCAGTATTATTGCATCAGGTATTTAAAAAGCTACCTCAGGTCCTAGTGCTGTTTTGGGGTAGGAAAACCATGTACCACAAACCCTACAGGCTTTGATTAACCCACAAGGTATTTAACTTGAACTGAGTTGACACCAATTCTATGGGATTGTATCAGTTTCTGAGCATTTCCAAAACAGCAAGAAAACCAAGGTGATTGAATTATCTGTAAAAGATTTTAGTGGAATTTTTTGTTCTTTTGGTTCACTTTTTAAATTTTTTTTTTATTAAAACATATACATGATGGAGATTCAGAGAATATAGTAGAAACAGTGTTTCACACCTGTTTTATACCTATTTGCTAGACATCACAATGAACTTTCCAGAACTCTAAAGGGTAACTAATAATTCATTCCCCAACACAGATTTCCAGGTTCCCAGGGAAAGAATCACAATTTCACATAGTAAGTTTTTGGAATCTTGACCTAAGTGAGGATCTCATAAACCCACCATCCACCACAAAAGTATTCTTAGAGCAAAAAGGAAATGTAAGACCAAGTAGCCCTATTTATGGCAAACTCATGACTGAAACGGGTAAGATACAAACATTTCACAAAGGAAGTAAAGAAATACTTTTCCTTTTCCATTGGATCAACTATGGAGTTAAATGATCCTGCTCAAAATTGTGTTATTTTAATGAACACAAGAAATTATAGGTAATGATCCAATAAGCAGCAGCCAGCAAAGTATTTTTAAGAGAAATATGAACATGAAAATACTGAGCATCAGAAGAAAGCAAGATGACAGAAAAACAGATATTTAGAGAGAGGGAAAAGAAAAAAAAAAGCCAATTTTCCATTAAGTATCATTCAAGTTAAAAAGAAAACATCTTTTGTGATTTTAGTAGCTCACACTAATCTTCCATCTTGATAGACCATAACTCCCCCTGCCGTGATTGTAAACTTTCTTTGAAACTTAGCTATTTATATTTTTAAAAATAATTCAAGTGTCTTACAATTCAAATATATGTACTTCTTTTGGCTTGCATAGTGAGTATTGAGAAATAAAAACAAATAGATAAATCAGAACAAAAGGAAAGAACACCCAACTAACAGTACAAAAATATGCCTCAAAAAGCACCACCATACATAAGCTCCATTTTATAATTCCCTGCTTGAATCAGAGCAGAGAAAAAAAAAAGAGGGAAAAAAAAAAAAATCTCTATCCAAACCCACTGTTTTTTTACCAGGTTGAAAATTTGATCAATGCCACCATTTAGAAGGACAAATAGTGATGAAACTGAATACACAATAATCATCAGCAGGACTGAAATTCTTGGAAAGAAAATTAAGGTATCAAACAGAACAATATTTGGAAAGATTGGTGTAAAGATAAGCAATACAGCTGTAGGAACAAACACAGCTCTGCACATATACAAATGACTATTATTAGCAGAGGACAAAATGGTTCTTGCATACTTTGCTGAAAGTATTTGTGAAATTATCATAAGGGAAATCTGAACCTGATGCAAAATCAGAAGCCTGTAGCTGGTATATTGATACTGTCTAGATAAAAGGCAGAAAGTTAATCACCTATAAATGGAAACTTTTTGAGATTGAAGAGGAGGAACTGCTAGTTGTTTGTGCTTTTTTGTGTTTTCCAAACACACTGAACTGTGTGCTGAGAAAACTACTCACAATTTCATCATTAACGAATTGAAATACCAGTTACTCAGCAACATTTTAAAAAGACATGATCAAAACACCAGCTTCCCTATTAACAATAACTCAATAAATCCAGCAGAAATGTATTCTTCTATACACTAGGAAAATCTGCACACTGGATATGTTCAAAAGAGTCCATCTACCAATTCTACAGGCTGCTTCCACTTGTTACTTTTGTATTCATGACAGATCAGATTTAATAAGCAATGGTTCTCTTCATCAATTTGTCACCCATTTTCTGGGAAAAAAAAAAAAAAAAAACAAAAACCAAACACGCCAGAGAACATGAGTGAAGAAACACACAAACCCTCTATTTTTCAGGGGCAACTCCAAAAAAAAAACCCAACAAACCCACAGCCTCATAGACATGGACTGCTAAATGACTCTGCATTTCTCCACTCAGCGCTTCTCAGGCTATTCTCACAGTAACCTTTGTTTACTAATGGTGCACACTAATATTACAGCATAGGAAGATGCATGCAGACATACAGAGCAGGAAAGGAGAAAGTCAAGATAAGATGGGAGTAGACAAATACTTTCAATTCAGTATAATTCAAATAAGTTTCTGTAGTAAGTAAGATCCAGAAAAATGTTTCTGTGGTTTTGTGAAAGTCAAAGTATGGGATGTAAATACGCCCCAGTTACACTACCTGAAGCCAGCAAAAATAGCTACAAAGGGGGAAAAATGGCTCTGATGTCATTTCAACAGTCACCTGCCTCATATGTCTCCCTTAGCACTTGTGATTTTGCAGTCTCATCTCTGCATATGTAAGTTCTCTTCTGCACCCTTCACACCCCTAAGAAAAAACAACACTGCACAAAATGCTGTCAAACAGGAAAATTGAGTATTCCCCACCCATTTAAATAATTATGGTGATCTCAGATGCTTCATGAAATACTGCAGACATCTAAATTTTAAAACACCAATGTTTGCAATGTTTTTTTGTCTAGCATAGTTAACTTTTACTATCAGAAGATATGTACAACTTCAACTCTCTCTCCACTACCTGCAGCAAATTTGACTCCAAACCACCAGGTCCATGGCATGATGGAATGATGAAAGACATGCAGGAATGTAACTTGGTTGTTTTTCTTACGCAGCACAAAAAAAATCTGAAACAGATTTTTAATGAACAGAATGTTACAGTAGATAATCAAGCTGAACATACTTAGAGAAAACTATGCATTAGTGCTAGCTGCCCACTACTATACATTTAACAATTCTTCACAGTCTTGGAAGAAGAGGAGAAACTGAGGCTCAGGAGATGCAGACTAGTTTCCAAAAGTAATTAAATTTGTATGCAAAATTCAGCTATGGCATCTCAAAAGCCAGAGCAATGTTTGAAAGCGAATGTCCAAAGTTGAACCATCACTTACGTGTGCAACAGACAGCGTAAGATGGACTTGCTTAGATTGAGAAGTATCTAGAAGCATCGGATTTTAAGTCCCCTGAGCTACTAATGCAAGGCCATTTGGGAAAATTGGCCAAAGGCCTAGCACCAGACACAGACAGTAGAAAATATCTGGTTAGAAAAAGCGCACTTTTTTTATGAACACTGACTTGGTTGTCCTTGGAAAAAGGCAAAGTTGAACTGAATATATGTACGTCTTCTTAGTTATATTGATGGGACACATTTTAAAGGACAGATATTGAGGGAAGTGTAAAAGGAAGACAAGGCAAGAAAACTGTATGAAGTCAGGTCATGCAAAGGAGTATCAGATGGCAAGCAAATAAATACAGCAGAAAAGAAGTCTGGTGTGTCAGGGAAAACATTTGGGAACAGCTGACTTAAATACAGCTAAGAAATTATTTTTGCAATAAATCCAAAAAGCTGCTGAGACAAAAGTACCTGATTGGGTAGATTCAAACAAAACAAACTAAAAAAAAAAAAAAAAAAAAAAAAGACATTTCAGGCCCAGGACCTATTAAAAAGGAACAGACTAACCAGCGGGTAGTAAAGTAAAGGTAAATAGAGGACTAAACTTGTCAGGCTTTTCCAGTTTTAGCATTCCTGGCCCTTCCATTACCATTCCATTTGGCTCAGTCAGTAAGATCTTCCAGCACTGAATCATGAGTATTTGCAGATGAAAGTTAGATGGCTAACTTTACTCACAAGACGTATAACATCCTAACTGCTCATGAGCCAGCTCCTGAATCACCGCTGCTGTGCCCCACAGAAGTTAAATCAGAGCTGATTCCAACACTCTGAAGCTGGCTTGAGAATAGCTAAGCCAACCCTACTACAGAATCACAGAAGAGTTAGGACTGGGAAGGACCTTAAGATCATCTAGTTCCAACCAACCTGCCATGGGCAGGGACACCTCACACTAAACCATCTCACCCAAGGCTCTGAACACCACCAGGGATGAAGCATTCACAACTTCCCTGGGCAACCCACTCCAGTGTCTCACCACCCTTACAGTAAAGAACTTCTTCCTTATATCCAATCTAAACTTCCCCTGTTTAAGTTTGAACCTGTAACCACTTGTCCTATCACTACAGTCTCTAATGAAGAGCCCCTTCCCAGCATCCTTGTAAGCCCCCTTCAGACACTGGAAGGCTCCTATGAGGTCTCCACGCAGCCTTCTCCTTCTCCAGGCTGAACAACCCCAACTATTAGGTGTTGGTCTCAGGAAGAGGGGAAGCAGACACTTGCTGGTGGCAAGTGCAGTCTGCAGACTGTTTCAATGCATTGCTGCTCAGACTTAAAAAACGGGTTAGAGTGCCAGCCTGACACCAAACATATCTATAGTCATGACTTCCAAGATATACACAGGAATTCAGAGCAGGTATGTATGGCAAATTTATGCTGCATCCAGAGCTGCTGATGCAAATATCCTGAATGTGGAAGATAAAATCTGAAGATGACATGGAAAAGATTCACCATGATCAGCTGTTCTTTCATCTGCAGTGTTGAGACAGCACTGCCGTAGCACAACAGGTTAGTGTACTCGGCTGTTAAACAGGCAAGTTATCATGGCTCCCTAAGTTTTTAAAGGTGTGTTCCATTATTAACATTTTTCCTGACAAGCAATAAATGACAGTGTAACGGGACAATAAGATGAGAAGAGATAGTAGGGGTAAACACCTTGACAGTATTCCACTGATTGAAGATTGAAGTGCTAAATAAAAATCAGGTTATGCTCTTCAGTCCCCAACAGCACCTGTTCTACTGTGAAAAGGAAACATCAATACTTCCTTTATTAGGCTACAAATACTTACAGTGTCCAATAATTCAATGAACTTGGAAAAGTAGTAAAGCCAGCAAGTTCGTACCATCTGCAAGAGTAAAAGCCAATAACTGTTTAATTGTAAGAGTCATAAATAAAACAAAGCAGCTGCATAAAAAAATAAAGTATATAAAGAAAAGTAGTGGGATGAGTAAGCAGTGTCACAAGGTACGCACTAAATATTTAACTATACAGTCTGTTTTTTCTTTAAAAACACAAAACATTTAATCCTGAAGGAATTTTAAAACCAGGAGGAACAAGCCAACAAATACATTGACTTTTTCTTTCTACCAAACAATAAACCCCTCCAGTTAATTCACATGCTCCACATTATGCAAGAGGCTATTTCCATTTAGTACATTCCACTCTACTGCAGTGCATCTGGTTGTACAAACACCGTTTCTAAACATAAAGTCAGTGTAGCATAACAATTAAGCTTTGTGTTTAGCAACTTACTCTCAGAGCTGTAGGTGACCTCGAGTAGTCAACAATATCACATCGGAATGAGTACCCTGTGGCCCAACCCGACATAAGAAACTGGAGCAAAGAAAAGGGAAAAAATTTGAAAATTTCATTATTTCAGGATTAGTTTTACAATCACTAAGCAGAAGCAGAAAACAATATTAAAAACTTGTTGAATTCGCAGCTGTGTCAATCACCTACCTCTGTGTGGGCTAGCTACCCAGTAATCCTTTGCTGTTGCAAATTAATGAATTTCTAACTCCAGGACCACACCTATAGACAAGAACTTTCCTTCTACACCCATAATTTCAGCACTAGTAACTGAAGAGGAGAAACAGCTGCGTCTCAAAACCAGTGTTAAAAAGGCAACTTACTGTGTAAATCAGACCACAAAAACAAAGCAAACATTCTGATAGTTTTTGAAAATTGCTATCACAGTCAACCACCTTAATACCAAAAAGAAACTAGCACAGTATCTTAATACTATAAGAAAACCAGCCCAACAGAAAAATATGGCTTGATATTATGAAAGACAAGGAACTGTATATTTTGTATCATAGTTTTAAAATTTTCCTTAGTTAAACAGCATGATTCATTTAGTCTTTCACTGATATAAGCAATGAGAATTAGGGGTTTACAATCAAGAGCATATGCATGACCAAAGGACTGTCTGTAACAAATATAATTTAATCTTTTCTCTTGGAATAAATTAAAGCTTGGCATCCACTAGGACTAGCCTATCTTCTATCTATTCATAAAGTGTTTCTCAGCCATTGATCATCATCGTCCACTCATGCATGGTAGCAGGGAGGTTCAGCTCTCTTAACAGATAGAAGGGTTTAGTCCATTTAACTTCCTAGAAGGATCAGTTGCTTAAATAAAACAAGATTTGAAACACCACACAGACAGCACAATACTAAAGCACCCACCAAATGGCTTAGTTCCAAAGAGGGAAAGAATCAGCTTTTTGCTGAGCACCAAACGATAGCAGAAATTCAATCCATCAACATTCAATCCAAGCATTCTTTCATGAAATTGTAACATGGAAGTCTGTACAGCAGACTAATCGAATTCTGTGTCAGTACCAACATTAACAGAAGCTTAATATTGTTTTTTGGTTTTGAGGGTTATACCAAAACCAACCTGGCACCAAATCACAAAAGTTCAGTGATTTGTCAAAACAAAGTCTAAAGAGCAAACATGGACATCTTGCCTACCAGTTTCCCCAAAACAATCATGACACAAAGCAGCTGCTGCTGCACTGCCTTTAAAGTGCTGCTAAAAGAAACGTCACACAGTTCATTGTTAAATCACGATGAAACTTATGCAAATTAAGCTAACAGAAAGGTATCCTGCCAATTTGGTGCAATCCGACAACTTCATTACTAGTTTGCCAAACCTGAAATAGCCACAGCCATATTTAACACAAAGAGGGTCAGTACTAGCATAGTGATGCTTCACCAAAGAGATGTATGAGATATCATTCACACTATTCCTAAATAGCTGCACTTTAAAAACTAGCCAACCAAAAAAAATGCCAACCAAAAAAATCCCCAACCAAAACACGAACAACCAGCCAAAATAAAAAAAACCCAAAAAAATAAACCCCCAAATATTCACCCACAAACAGCAAAACAAAAGAATCCAAACAACCACCAAAAAAACCCAACCCAACCAAGCAGAAAACTCAGCAGACATTAGCTATCTTAAGGATTAAGGTAGCAAATTAAAGATTCTACCTAAGTTGTACCTTCAGTCTATACCAAAGATTTTCAAGTCATTCAATCCATAACACTATAAAACTCATCAGGCTTTCCAAAGTCTAACATTTTGCTTGAGCAATGAACTACAGCAAATCTCAACATTCCTTTTTAGACAAAAATATTTGCTATATTTAGGGTAGGGAAAAATTAATGCTAAAGGCTTTCATGGTTTGGGTTTTGGGGAGAGGGGTGTTGGGTTTTGTTTGGTTTTGGGGTTTATTTCTTGTTTGTTTTGGTGGGGTTTTGGAATTTTTTATTTTGGGGGGGGTTGTTTGGTTGTTTTGGTTTGTTTTTTAAGATGAATATTAGATTTTGTTAACTTCTGTCATTTAAGGGCAGATCCATCTGAAGATTATTTGATAGTAAATATACCCGATACAGTGTTTGAAAAATCGGTGTCGATTATTACGTGGTAGGACAGAAATAGTTACGACAGACTAAGGAAAACAGTCTGCTTCACCTACTACAGCCCAGGGAAATTAAATAAATTATGAGAATTTTTAATTTTGTAAATTACATATGATGACACATATGATGTTTTACAATCTTTCCTTCTAGGTATGACTTATTCCCTTTTTTCAAGTATCATCTGAACTAGTCTAGTATATTGCTTGGAGGAATATAATTACAGCAATCAGAATAATAGCTTTTTGAGAAGTGCAGAGTGGGAATTTTGTTAAAAAATTTAAGAGAAGTTAGTAGTTAGCAACACAAAACATATAAATACATTACAAATAAAAGTAATACTTACTTCATAAGTCATATATAGAGAGAGGGCCACCACACTAAAATTATAAAATGCCATTATCTGCCTGAGTTCAAAAGGCTTTTTATTTTCCATGATTCTGGGTCCCAAAGAAGTGACAAAATAAATGTAGGTTACAACGATAAAGGTTGTTGGAAAAGGTGAAGACATGAGCGGCCATCCTTCCAGCCTTGGATCTATAGGAGGGGAAGAAAGGAAAAAAGACAAAAAATCAGATCTTTCCAGGACTTACTAAATCCTAAACCAGCTACATAAAGGTAATTAATTCTTAATAGCTTTTTATTTTCACTGATCATGGTTTTTTATTGTAACTGATCATGTTTCAGAGTCCATTCATCTCAAATCCATACTGACTGGATAACAAGATTTAGCACATGTAGGATTCAACACTTCTCTGCATCAACTCTTCACATACAATGAACAGAAGAAACAGAATCATAAGTGGCACGACTAGGGCTCTCCATGAAAATACTGTGCTTTCACACATGAACGGGGCTCAGAGGGCAGCATAAGAAGGCAGCGTACAAGCAGATCACTGAGGCTGCTTTTCCATGTGAGATTTCATTCTTCTAGAAAAGCATGAACCTTATTTCATGGGTTCAAGTCACAGGGAGCAGCCACACTTTGCAAGATCCTTGAACTTTATAAGCCACATGATGTTAAAAATACTAAGCAAAAGGATTTTAAAGTTCAAAGGCCTTCTGTCCCATAAATTGGTATTCATAGTTTAGTATTTGAGGCTTTATGCCTATTCAGTGCAGATATGTCACCACTTTACAGCACCATAAAACACACTTTCATATTACAAGTCTCCAAACAGCAAAAATGTTTTCCCAGTTATCCCAGACAGAAGCATTGCAGAGTCCTCCTCCTATGTACACCCCACTCCCTCTCCCTGCAGCTGAGGCTGGCAGGCACTCCTAAGCTTCACCACACCAATGCACCCTTCTGCGGCCCATCACTGGGTCCCAGCTCATCAAAAACTTCCATATTTCTCCATAAGCAGGAGAACAGATTCGTGCTTCATGTTCTTTAAAAAAAAAAATCTATATATTAGTTTTAATTTATAAAAACCAACTTTTGGCATATTAATTTCTGAATGACCCCAAACTTAACTAATCATAGAATGGTTTGGGTTTGAAGGGACCTTCAACAGTCATCCGGTCCAACCCCCAGTGATTCAGTAAACTGATGCTTTCATGGTTTGTAGCTGCATTTTGGGGGTGAAATTATACCACTGCAATTTTTGTTAAGTGCTTAATTCATGGCCAAATGTCTGAAGTCTGTGATTTTTCAACCTACACCATTCAAGCAACATACCACCCAAGATACCTTCTGATTTTGTTTACAGCCACTGGAAGTTTTAAAACAGGTTGAGGAATAAAACACATATTATAATGCTGCTCAGTCTGTCATGTGCCCAGTGATGCTGCCCACAGACCAACAAGGATTGTGAAACACATCACTAGGCTCCTGTATGTGTTGAATTGCAAGAGAATCACCAGCTCTTCGCAACTGACTGCTTTTTGTGCATCCACCCATTGCACTGGTACTACCAAAATTTTCCCACTGGTCTTCCCAGCTTGATCCTGACAAAACAACATCCCACCACTAGCAGTATGCCATGAAAAGCCACACAGAAGCACTGCTAGGCAGGGGGACAAGGAAATCAAATTCTGAAGTCATGTATACTGCTGCAGAAATGCTCCATCACCCAGCTCTATCCCAATCCACTTCACCCCAGGAGTCATATTGATAAAACTCCCTTCTCACTTGTATGCTGTGGTTCTGCAGAACAGGACAAATGGTTCTCAGCTGTACTGGAAAAGATAAATTTGTAATTTTATTACCAAACCTTAACTGCTTCTCAGGTTTTCCCCAGGAGTCAGCTAATCCCTGTCACTATGTGCCTACCACAGTGAGGAACACGCCTCTTCTACTGTGACAGATGGGTCTTAACCCAGACTTGAGATCATCTTCATCTTTTTTTGGCAAGTATTCAAACTACAGAACAACAACATTAAAGCACAGCTTCATATCTGTTACCAGCTGCAATAAGAGACTAACATTTTTTTTCAAAACAGAACTGTGTCAGAGTTAATTACTTTGAGGATTAATTTTTTAGATACTGTGACTTAGCAAGGTTTTTATTTTTTTTTTTTTTTACTTTGCAAAAGCAAAATACCACGCACCTAGCTCAATTAAGTGAAAAACACCATTATTTGGTAATGAAGACGAATTAAGCCTTTGCACTCAGAAGCACAGAAAAAATGCAAATTGTACAATTCAGGTAAGCCAGAAATCACTGTCTGCACTTAATTAAGTCTAAGGTTAAACCCATGAACTTGATGGGTTTTGAGTTTTTTTCTTTTTTAAAATGCACAAAATAGTCTGTTCTTCATAGTTCAGAATGTCTATAGGTAACTTGGCAATTCTTAGAAATACTTACAGGAAGACAAAGATACTTTAAGTTGATAAACAGTATACCTGGAATAGCTACGCATCGCTATTCAGAATTATTGAAAGTTAGTAAGTTTAAGATTTAAATGACTCACCGGCATCTTTAATCCATTCATCATACAGTAGCACAGCCTTTGATGTCAGATTGCTAAAGGCCATTTTCACTTGATTAAGATTTTATGATCCTGCCTGCAGGAAAACAAACCAAAACAGAAATACAGATTTATTTTTTTTTTAATTAATAAAATGAAGGTCAAGAAAGTGTTTTGGAAAGGATATTCACAAAACAGAAAGAAAAAATTATAGGGGGCCAACAGAGCACCATATGTGAAATACAGATCAGGGAGCTTTTACTGACCATACCACACTATGCTTACGGCAATTTATAGCTGAGCTGTTATGTACAACAATATGACTTTGTAATTTCAACATACCAAACAAGATGGTTCCACGCTATAAAGTGTTATCTCAAGAAACCATGCTGTGGTTAACCATTACAGTTAAGGGGTAAATATAAAGAGCAGCTGCTTAAGTTCAGTTTTATTACCATCTCCACTTGACAGACCAAGTCACTGTTATGTGATCAAGTTCAGCTTTCCAACATTTAGTGTTGAAAATTTTAATTTTTCTAACCAAGAAGTATTTCTAAGGTAGGTGGGAAGGAAGGAAGGTGCCAATATGTCTGCATACTCCTTTTAAATACAATAATTACCTATGCATGCAAATCACACCCTCATGAATCAACTGTTTCCACAACAGGATCAGGAAGTGTCACTGGTAATATCATTAACCCAAGGGAATTATCCGGCATACCCAGTTTGCCTGCAGCACCACCTACATATGTAAAACTTTTCAGAGAAGTATGTTTATATGAATGATGATTTTTCCTCCAAAATCAAATACTAATCAGCCCTGCCCTTGCCTCATCCCACCCAGAAAATACTTTTCAAAAATCCCAACACATTTGAAGAGTGTCTCTCCTATTCCCACTCAGGATCTCACTTTGCCATATGATTTCCCTCTATACTCCTGTGCAATCCTCACACTATTTAGTCACACCTTTGTTAGTCCAGGCTGTAGCACACTTTGATAACCAGCTCCTTTGCTCAGGCTGCCCTTCTGCATCTCCTTCAGACTAAGGGAGATGGAGGTTTGGAGAACCAGTTCTACCCTCATGATGGTAATGCATCTCTCCTCATATCTCCCCACTGTCATCTTATTTACCCTTACCTTAACACTCCCGAAAAACAATTTCACCCTTATCTCCAGGTCTATAAGCACCCTCTTGTTCACTGCCACTTCACAGGAGTTTTTAGATGCCTCAAAAGTACACAACACCCACCGTTCACCACAAGATGCAACACAGACAAGCTTCCCTTCATTAGAGTTCATCTGATCTACCTTTTCCCAGTTCTCACTTTGTCAGCCACTAGTTCTCCTGCTTGCACCTCTGTCCTGTGTGTCTGATGAACATCTGAAACCACCATCAATTTTGTGTTCAAAAAATATTCTCTCTCAGTCTGTTTAAAGTACACATTTTCCAGAAATACCATCCTCCAGCATCAGCATTCCCCAACTCAATGTCAATGCCTTTATGCTGACCATTTTCGCATGCCCTATGTTTATATTACAATGTTTGCTACAAAGCTCTATATTTATGAAGGTGCTGACAAAATAAGAAGCAGCATGGGATATCCTCTTCCTTTTCTAATGGAAACTTAAGTGGCCCTCTTCCTTTTGGGACCAGCAATCACATGACACAAAAGATTTTATGGTTAAAGACAAATTAAAAATATCCCTGCCATTTTGCTCCATAAACCAAACTATAAATTACATCAAGCACATGTAAAACCAATCCTGTTTTGTACACATATCAGACTGCCCAACTATGACAGCCAGGCATCTCAGCTGTAACTGGTGCTGAGGGAAGTGTCACAAAATCTGTACTTTGTAAATACTCATTTCAATAATTACACTGATTTCAATAAGTTATCTTTAAAATCCAGTATTCCCATTTGAGTCTCATGAGAACAGTCTATCAAGAGATGAGAAATGGCAAATAGAAGGTACCCTGTTCAGGAGTTAGGACAATATTCTACAAAAGTCTATAGACACCTTGTGCACAGCATGGCTCAATATTTATTAAATATATTCACTGCATATGAATATTACATTATATTTAATCAATTCTTCAATAATAAAAATAGTTCTCTGATTTCACTGCCAGTCAGTTTTCTCACTCTCATCTGATGATGTTACTGGAACTCAGTCAGACCAGGTAGCTCAAAATGCTGACCAAAACCTAAATGAAAGAAGTAACCTACTGCTTCAAAACATGCCTCCAAAAATCCAGAAAATTCTGTGTGAATGTTGGCTCAAAAAGAATTTATTATAAGCTTGGGGCATTGATTGACTTTTTCTCCCTTTTACAGTGCAGACCTTTCATCCTGAAAACTTCAACCTCACAATCACACAATTCTTTACATTTATCACTTGACTTGTTGACATCATTTTATTTTTGCGTTAGGAGTCCAATAAATGTTCTGTCAGTGTTTAAACAGAAACTCTTATGACTGCAAGGCACTGGGACCTAGTGCAAGCTTTTTATCCGGAACCAGACTACTTCCAACAGATTGCTTCTGCTTCTAGTAGAAAGGCAGCAGGTCAAAATAGCAAATCCTCACGTTTCCCAGCCTCTGCCATGCTGATGGAGAGGCCTTTGTCCCACCTTCCCTGACTCCAGCATTTGCAGTTCTTCCCCCTTTAAAATGTTTCACAAGAGCTAAGACATCCTTCAAGGCTCTCAGCCTTCAAGGTTTCTTTTCTGTTCATAACCAAGCAAGGAAGCTCCACAGTAGATGCTAAACTTTTTCTGGAAATTTCCGCAGTTTAATTGCTATCCTAGAAAGAATGATGCACCAGTCAGAAAGCAGATACAGCCTCAACACAAAGACATACTGACTGATCAATTACCTTGAATCTGAAGGTAAACAAACTACAATAAGGTAAAACTATTTTTAGAGTAGGAGTAATGTCTGCCAGAAACACAGTGCTGATCAGAACTTTTCTACAGTTAAAAGATTCATTTTAAACCAACTTTCATATATAACACTGCTACTTTGCTTTCAATGGGCTTTACAATTCTACTTGTTTTCTTAATCAGGTACCTAGTTTTCCCTTGGAAGCCCATTTCTATGAACAAATGTTTGCATTATACTGTTAGCATTTCAGGATTCTTTGTTTGTTAGCTATCTACAAGTAGGGTTGAGGGCAGCGTGAAAAGTATTTTGTCTTATCCTGTTACACCTAGTTCACAAATTCATACCTACTGGAAAAGAATAGGTTTAAGGCTTGTTTGGTTTTTTAATAGAAGCATAAAAAAAAAACCCCACATGCCACACACAAAATAAACAATTAGCTTGTGCTTCAACAAAAATCCCACAGCCTTTTTTAACAACTGCTTTCTTACAGTACAACACGTTGTTAAGGAATAACCTGATAACACTCTGACCATAATGCAACCTTCCATAACACTTAGCAGTTTTGAAGTCTACAGACCTTATCCTCTAATGTGAGACTGGAAATATTTGGCCTGTAGGGATAAAGACTCTGGGGCAGAGAAGGACACTTGATAAATATACAGCTTTATTTCTTCATTACGTAAACTCATCTGAACATTAATCGTTTGTATAACCACAGTTTCATCAGGAAAATAAATATTTAGTTTTCAGACCTTTTAATGTACTTACAGAATCAGCACATCAGCACTTTTATTTCCAATATTCCACTTTCTGCTTTTAACAAAATTTAAAAATGCAACTTAAATGCACTAACACTAGGGAATTTTATTCTTAAAATAGAGTGTCTAGAAAGTTCACATTCTCAGAATTAGGGAAGTCGCAAACCAGATTCATTTTCAAAATTAGGTTCTTTTAAACGACATATTGGAAGAAATTTACATAAACTTAAAAAAGTGCAGTCATGTAACTTCAGTCTGCTTAGCTTGAAAAGTTCTTTAAAACACAGAGGCAGTTCTCTCAAGCACATGCATTCGGAAAACAATCCCTGAAATCACCCCAAAAGCATATGCAATGTACTCAGCTCTTACAAAGAAATTAGGGCTATTTTTCTTTTCTGTATTTTTATTTTAAAATGCCATTGGAATAGTAATATTGTTCACCTAGGTTCATGCCTGCTGCACTAACATAATTTCTGAAGGCATCTTTAAACAACTGTATCCTTACCATTATAAAAATAGGGAGTGTAAGAGAGGCAAAGGAGAGAAATGCTAAAAGACCAAAGTAATTGGCTGGACTCTGGTCCCCTGCAGCTCAGCAGACAGCTGAAAGAGACCACTAACTGCAGTTAAGGCATCTAGCTTGGCAGAACCAATTTCAAGTGGGACTATTACTTTTACTGAAGAGGCAAAGGCAGCTGATAAGATCATTTACACAGCCAAAAATGCCATAAATACCACACCAAACTATATGTGAATGAATGTCTCATGATGACAAGTAGTATGTAACAAGCTGCTGGAAGTGCTCAAGTTCAGCTAGCACACAAAACTATTAGTGATTCTTGTTATGGGAATTACTGGTATGCCTCAAACATTCCTTATTTTTAAATGAGAACATGAAGTTTCTCACATTCCTTTGCTTAGCCCACACGACAGATATTTGCCATTCTTGATGCTCATTTATTCCCCCTACACATTTTTTAAACATTAAAACAGATACCAAGATTTGCTTTTAAATAATAATTCTACAAATGTTTTGTTTTGATGGCAACTGAACAACACAAGCAAACAAAGGAACTTGACAAAAAAAAACAAGTAAAGTGAAACAATCTAATGTAAGCTCTGTCACTTCAGAAAACAAATTCCAAAACTCAGCGGGAACTTAAGAATGTGCACTAGAACTTGCTAAGCTAATTATTAGTAAGACAAAGGAGCTACCTTTACAGGGACCCCTGTATAACAATACAGTTCAAACTTCAATGGAATAATTTCCACCCAAGGCAGACTGCAAAAGCAAAGGCTCTGGAGAATGTGAGAAGCAGGCAAGTAGGTAATGATGGGGGCACCCTCCACCCCAGAGAGACCACTGGAAGATGGGGAGAGTCTGTAGAACACATTGACCCATGCAGGCCTGATTTCAAAATGTTAGCTTAAGAAATGACAGTAATACTGGCTTACATATTCAGGCACAGTTATGAAACTTCCACGTTTCAGAATCACTTGGCATACTTTCGTTAATTCTGCTCTTGAAGTTCAGAGGGTAATTAAATCAAGACATTTCACAGATGGTATCTTAAGCTTTACCTGGGAAATACCAGCTCTGCCCTTCCTATTTCCCACGGCTGTGTGCTTACATAATTGCAGTTACTCTAGCTACATTCCTCCATATGCCATTTGGCAAACAAATACAAACTGCCTTACATTAGACGGGTTACTCACCTATATTCTGCCACAAAGTTTTATACTTAGCTGGATGTCTCCTGTTGTTAGGGGTTTCCTTCAGAGAAGTTTCTATTATCTTCCCCATCCTTTATGCCTTCTGTCGACCACCCTTTTGAAAAATTCATCTCTTAGGCAAATTGGCTACATCCTGCTCAGCATTTGGTGGCCTTTTCTTCTTTGCTAATGTTGCTGTTTAACACTGTTGTTCCTGTCAA